TCAGTCCATTTCAATAAATTTCGATTACAATTCGGTACATTAACTAATTTTGGTTCCAACTTGTAGAACCCGCGAAACAGATCGTATGACAAAGAGAGAAGTTTGCACAATCACATCACGCAATTCATCAGGCTGGGTTTGTTCAATTGATTTTGATGGTCGCGGGGAAATGTCGAGTTTGTCGCTCAAAACCGTTGTGGTCCATAAGAGCGTAGCATCATTAATGACGGAAACAAATTTGCAGAAAGGAGGGCTAACTCATCGGGTTCCGTTAACCAAATCTCGGGAGAAACTGCAAGAATTGTTTTAGAGTGTATGCGTGTCGTTTTTTAACTATAAACACTGTAACCTATTTAAACTTGTTTTTGTGCCCTTTTAAGCAACGCGATATGTCTGTTATGACCAGAGTGCCAAATTTTATTCTTTAATTTTGCTCTTCTCCACACTGTGCGTAGTTCATGACCAAATATTTCAATGTAAATTATCGAGAAGGCGCCTTCCAATCACCTTTATCTTCTTTGTAAGTCACGCGGGCGCGCAAGCGTGACGACCGATCACGTTTACGCAACGTTTTAGGACAACTCAGCATCTAATCTCCATTCAGTTGCAATGAAAACCTAAAATCCTCAACCTAGAAGATAAACGAACGAAGTTTGAACGGTCAAAAGGAGATCTTGGTCAATTTTCAGAATCATGCAAATGATCTTTGACACCAGCGCATTTGAGCAAACACAAGGATTTGCGTTGTTTTTAAGGAATTGGTGGATGGAAGCTAGCAATATACCCGCGGTTTGAGGACATCCGTGACCTCATTGGTGTATAGACCATGCACTGATATGCTTTTTCAGCCCGATTAACGCCTGCATTTTGAGAATTCTTTCGTACAAAGTAGTGAATTTTTGATATGCAAGTTAAAGTCGTCGAAGAGAAGGGTCTCCTCTGATCACGCTGGTATGAAAAATATTTCAGCTGAAGTTTCTAGATTTTGTCTGTGAACTAACTGAATACATCTTGTAACTTGTACCAAGGTAGAATTCCGTGAGCTACATTGTTACAGTCACTGCGCGCTGGACGAAATCTTTGAAATTTACACTTTCGATCGCTGCCCGCAGGGGTGGTCTGGCCAAAAATCATTTTTGACTTGTGGCGACGCAAAAAAAGAGAATTGGAGAACACCTAAACTATTTTTGAAAGATATGCCCTAAACCCTTTTAATGGGCAACAAATAAAAGAAAACCTTTTTTTTCCGACAGGAAGTCGAGAGGACCGCTTTTAGCGAGAGAGGCACTTAAGAGAGCTTGAGGTCCGTATATAACATTGAGTAAATATGAGAACCATTAAAAGTCTCTAAAGAACAGTGCGTAAATATTTGTACTAAAGAGAATTAAAGACGCATAAAGACTAGCTAGCTATACGTAAAGAGCGTTAAAGGTCCGTCAATTACAGTGCGCAAAAATTCCTAAGGAAACTTAATTAGCTTACGAGGAAACATCCAGATCACTAGGTAATTCACTGATGACCGATCAGACACATTTATTTCCCATATTTTGGTAGTTCTTTCAATATTGATCCGTGAACTATAACCATCCCAATCTACGCCCTTTACTCGCCTTTAATATCGATTATAGAGTCTTTGCGCAGTCTCTGCGTTAACGCATGCTCATGGAACACGGAATTTGTTTTTTACGCAAGAAATGAAGAGGAGTTAAGTGGCGATTTCCTGCTGCGTTATAATATTAATTTTATTACTTTGCAAGTCGTATTAGCAGCCGGAGTTACTAATTCGTATACAAACTTTCTCACGATAGTTGTTCTGAAAGTCTATATTAATCATTTCATTGATGTATAAGTGCAGTTTCCTAACGTTTCAATTTCGTCAAAATAGTAAAAACCCTGATCGGCTTGTATTTATTTTAAAGATTCAAAAAGGGTGTTAAAAAGCTGTTGGCAGAAACTTAACGGAAACGAAAAACAGTGGAAACGTCCTGACTTTAATATAACGGAAACATGACTTGACATTTCCGTCCCGGAATCATGACGGAAACTTGATAGCGAAACGTAAGTGTAGCGGAAACATGAAGCTCTATGTTTCCGTCACATTTAAGAGATGCGGAAACGTAGGATTTCGTCCTGTTTGGGTGTAAAAACATAAGAGCGAGTGACGGACTTAAGTTCAGAAAACAGCGTAGATTAGATAAAGATGGCAGTTTGTAATCTAAAATCTTCAGCCTCGAGTGCGATCCAATATGGAAAACTGACCACGCGACATTTACCATATATTTACACTTATCATAGTGCAATGAAAATTGCTCGCGAAAAGGAGATGAATTGGTGATGCAAAAATTCCCAAAGCCAATTTTTAATGTTCCCTGTGAATAATGTTCTGTAGACAGATAAATAGATACTTATATATAGGAAGCAGCCAGTCATTAACAATGAAGAGAACCACCGCTTCAGATCATTCCATACTAAAGTATTAACTAGAGGTCCAAAAATTGTCCTTTTTTTACAATACACCGAAAATTGATTTATTTGAAATTAAATTACAAGGGAAATCTGTTTACCTCGAAGTTAACCAATTGTTAACCATATGTAAGTTGACCTAAAGAAATTAAAACGTAATCGATCTCATCTCATTGACACTGCAAGTCTTAATATATCCGTGTAGTCCTCATTGTGAATGTACGCGAACGCTTCCAACTTAGCAGGTTTGCTGTGTCAATTTTGAAATAACATTTGTGCAAAGACAGATGGCTTGAGGATGGAAAATAGCACTAACTTCTCAAACCACGGATCAGAAAGCCAAAACTTTCACATAAAAGTTTTTGTCGTTGTGAACTGTGCCTTGAATGCGCCATTGATGCTTGTATCAATTCTAGGCAACGCGTTGGTTCTTGCCGCCATTATAAGGAATCCGTCGATTCGTTCTCCGTCAATGATCATGCTCGGTAGTCTTGCTGCTACAGACCTTCTGGTAGGTCTTATCGCTCAGCCGTTGTTTATTGCAGATGAGCTCATTATGAAGAACCATGTTCTGAACGCTGTTTCTGCAATGATAGGATTCGCCTTATGTGGTATTTCTCTCGCAACCATAACAGCCATTAGCATGGATCGTTTTATTGCACTGCAGTATCACTTGCGATATGTAACTCTTGTGACCAACTCCCGAGTGATCTATTCTATAGTAGCGGCATGGTTGATTATCGTGATCTATTCGGGACTTCGGTTATGGGATGAGGTTGTATTTCACCTACTTTCCGCGATACTCACCGTTGTTTCTCTTGCAACATCTACGCTTTGTTACATTAAGATTTACCAAATCGTCCGACGCCACCGATTGCAGATCCGCTCTCAAGAACAAGCTACAAGAAGCCACATCATTCAGAATCGCACAGAAAAAATGCGATTAAAACAAAGCGCTTTGAACACGTTCGTTTTTTATATCTTTATGATTGTATTTTACTTTCCCGCGTATATTTTTCTCTTTCTTTTTGGAATTTCTTATTCTACATGGAAAACGGAATGGACCATCTCGACTACCGTTGTGTTTATGAACTCGTCCCTGAATCCAGTTCTGTTTTGCTGGCGTATCCGCCAGCTTCGGGTTGCAGCTGTGAAGACGGCAAGAGATATGTTATGCACCACCACTGATTAAATTCAAAAACAGTAACTTTTGTCAGACAATTCTGGCTTCTACGCGCAGCAATAAGCTGCATTTAAGCTGGCTCAGCAGCACCAAGAATCCACATTTGAAGAAAAAAATTGAATCGATCGGGGACATCAGAAAATGCTGTAAAATTAGTGAGGTTACGGCATCTGGGCTTAAAATCGCGAGAAAAACGATAGACGAGCAAGTTTTTGCCTTTCGTTTATACCCAAAACGCTTTCAAGATTTCTTGCTAAAAGGAATAGAAGAGGTCTCGTTGAGAATTCCCAAAGCCTATTTTAATGTGCGGTACTAAATAATTTTGTATAAACAAATAAACTGTAAAATTAAATTTCCTAAGTTGGTATTGCGTTGTCTTTATCAAATCGATTATTTAGCATTTTCTTTTAACGTTAATCCCTCCTAGCTATTTTTTTTGCCTTTTTCCCTTTGAAAACACATTGCATCTGCATGTGGGAAATTTAGGAGAAAAAGTTGAGACTTGATGCAGACAGATGAAAATTCAGTTTCTAAAAGAAATTTGAATATACGTGAGTATTAAAAATTCATGGCCGACTGAGTGTATCAACTGTTTAAATAGTACAGTGAAGCTGCCGATCATTAATTTGATAGGTTATGACATGGTATACAAATAGAAATTGCATATCAACAGTGCTATAGGGTTCACCACCGAACTCGCAGGCACCTGTTCATTACTATAAGATGGATGTAGCAATATTAGAGAAATATGTCTCCTCATTCTTGTGATGACGGTATTTTAAAGCTTAAACCCTGCACGTGCGGTATAACATCTGTCTCCCACGAGAACGTTACTGACCTCTAAATGACTTCCTTTCGTCTTGTTTTATCGCGCTTTTGCTAGTATTATTGTTAACAGTTTTATTATTGTTGATGCTAATACTATTATCATTATCGTTAGCAATGACGGCTTTCATTGGCGTCTGTCCATATCAATATCAAGTTCCTTACACAGTGCGACAGCTGTTGTTACAAAGATCGACAGCTCATCTTATTAAAAAATGAATAAAGGGGTAAGTTTCTAAAGAAACTGTGGTGCTGCGTCGGTGGGAGAGTATAGCAGGTAATTTAGTGTTAACAACTGGGTTGAAAACGTAAATTAGCCACCGTAAAGGGTAAAAAAGCTGACGTTTCGAGCGTTAGCCCTTCGTCAGAGCGATTCGTCATGAGCGATTTTATTAAAAAATGTATTGGCCCATTATTGCAAAGAGCAACATCTCTTTTATATTATAACATAGCTAGCAGAACCGCGCAAGAAGCTAGAGTTGCCCTCGGCTATTGCCTCGGGCAACTCTTACGCTTCTTTCGTGCTCTCCAAACTTCCCACGTGCTTCATAACTCGATAGTGCACGTTAATGCATGAACCGATTGTTAAATAGAGTGCAACGTAGTTAAGTAATTTTAAAAAATGCGAGAAAACACATTCTAATAACTTCTTATCTCAGCGTGCCTTAGAAAGCTCATTCCATCGATAAATCAGTAATTTTTCTAATTTTTGTAGATGCAAAGCACTCTATTCAAATTTGAAAACTTAAGAGCCTTTTGGTTTGTAATTTGACGACAGATAAACAAATAAATTCAGGCTGTAGAATGGCCCAAAAATAATTCATATTGCACTGGCGGGTTTAGCTTCGTATAGCATTGTGTATTTTCCGTCAAATCACTCAATTTAGTTTCTTCACTTAATTGTAAATTAGTTATGTAGTCATATGAAAAGCCACGTAAGAAAGAATCCCCTAGAGGAACTACATTGCACACGACAGATTGGTAACACTTGACGTTGAATAAGCTTAGCAGTTAAATAAATGTTTCGAAGAGGCCGTCAAACGTAGTTCCGTTTGCTTCTTTGCCTGTGGAGGATATAATTAATCTGCTGTCTTTTTGCATTAAAACCACCCAATTTGCATACAACGGCACCTACTATCAACAGGATTTTGTTACAGCAATGGCAGCCTTAGTGTAGCCGTACCCTAGAGATGAAACGGAGGCGAGCGAACGTCTGCGCAAACCTGACACCAGGGAGCTTAAGCACGGGGACTTTTCAACGCGACACTGCCGTCGATGAGCGGTTGAGACTGGGGCGAGATCTATTGTGCATGACATACCCTGGGTAAGCAACGTCGTCCTGCCAGCGATGACGTGAGTCAAGTGGAGTTAGTGTTGCGAAAACGTGAGTGATTTAACTTTTGGGGAAGAAAACCACTGGTACAAAATTATAAAATCCTCGTCAGAAAAAAGATCAACATCGTAGTAGAGAAGAAGAGTCTGACAGAGCTCTTTAAAACTTGCCATAACTGACATTAAGTGATGTAGTTTAGAGAACTCTAGCAAGATTTGAGGATAAAGGATGCCGCGTATCACAGCACTAGTGCTTAACAAAAGAAAATTTGGCGCGAGAACGACGACTTGAGACTCAGGCCTTCGCAGATTTGACCACGGCGTCGCCCTGAAAACCTCTCGTGCTTAAGTTCCCTACTAATCGTGTTCCGTGACGTCACTCTTCTGCAAGAAAATGTATAATGACTTTTTATTGGTTAACCCCTCTTTCCGATTATTTCGTCAATTCTGATTGGCTAGAGTTGGTTATTTATTTTCATACTAACGAACAAGATAGTGAACGAAATGCTTTCATGGTCATTTTTTTAGAAAACATCGATCTACGACGAGGTTTTAGGGATTTTGCGCGACTTTTCGGATAGAGACCTTTCAAGACGAACGCAGAAAGTCATAGATATGTTTTTCGAAGGTAACGTCTCCGTTTCGTCACCTACTGGCTATGGAACATCTTTAATATATGTATAAAGCAGCGCCAGTGATCGATCACCTCTCTCCTCTAGAAGAAACCGGTTGCCGTCCGTTACAGCTCTCACGGAAGACCAGATGCACTATCTTAATGTACTTGGGCCAAGAGAATAGTTCGCCTTCAATTTTCGGTCACTTTGCAAACGGTGCTGCGCAGTTATTTAATTGAAGCTAGTTGTATCTTGCAACGATTCTTTCGACTGAGAAAAGAATCGCTCTTTCTTCACGCTTGCGGCGTAACTATCTTTTAAAGAAATCTTTAAAAACCTTGAGATGTGCGGCAAATGATCCAACTTTTTTCGACGACCGTAGCACTGTTTACAAATGCAAAGAGAAACCGCGAGGACGTTGAAATCTAGTTTCTTAAACGCGATGCTGATCGAACACCGTCAGCGCGATGCTAATCGAACACGCTACAACAAAAATCGTTCATAATCTTTTCCTATATCCTTAAAACAAAGTATATATTTGAACTCGGAGGCTGAATTGCAAATTTACCTGAAATTCACTTCAATGTTGTTGTTTATCTCAATAACCTTCACGATAGCACGTGCCACTTCGCAAAAAAAATATTATCAAGTGACATCATTTTGCATGACTTAGAGTGACGTCACGGAACACTGTTAGTGTCACGTTTGCGTAGAAGTTTCCTCGCTTCCGTTTCTCCTTAGGGGGGAGGGTATGGCTAGAAGTAAGCTACAGCTATAGGTTCGCCTGTCTCTGCCGTCTTTGCCAATATGCTTCTGGAAGACGTGGAACAAAGGGCTTTAGCCGCTTCACCGATATGTCGATGATGTTAATTCAGCGGTATCCGGAAACGGAGCGGAACGCCTCCTATGGCATTTGAATTCAGTGGGGCCGTCTATCCAATTCAACCTTGGGCGTGAAAAGGATAGACACTCGCCCTTTCCTTGATTAAAATGTGTGCAGAGTGGAACAGGGGAATTTAGAGACAAGTGTTAATCGTAAACCTACCCACGCCAACAAATACCTCGCTTCCGACTCTCACATCCTATTTGCCATAAAAAGTATTTAGCTAAAACTTAACTCAGGAGGGCTGACTGTCTATCATCTTCGATTGATTCAAAGCCTGAAGAGAGGAAATATGTTTCGGACGTCCTAAAGGTAAATGGCTATACCAAAACATTTCTGCGTAACTGCAGAAACTAGTTACAATTCTCCTGAGGAGAAGGAACCAGCGACTGGTTTTACTGTTATTCCTTACATTCAGGTTGTTACGGAATAGAAGATAATTTTGATTAGCCACAACGTTTAAGTTGCTCAAACCTTTTCAGGCTTTAAGGCATATTTTCGCCAAACCCAAGGATCATGTCACGAAAGAACAACGAACCGACGCTATTTATTCTATTCCGTGCAATGACTGTGATCACGAGTATATCGGACAGACCAAACGTCAGTTTGGTACACGTTTGAAAGAGCATCAAAAAGCGGTCTCCTTTTGCAAAAAAGGAAATTCAGCTTTGTCGGAGTATACATGCCTAACTAACCATAGAACGGGGGGCGGGGGCGGATAAGTCTAAAATTATCACCACTAATCGACGTTACTACCAGCGCCTTCGTTTGGAAGCCTGAAATATCAACTCCGCCCGCGGTCCTTTAAATCGTGATGATGGCGGCTTACTAAGTATACCTGACGCCTATTTACACCTGGTCAGAAAAAAGGACAGCTAATTAATGAGCATATAGGAGGACTTCTCGTTGCAGCGATTAGATTACCCCTGATGAAGACACTAAACAATAGTGTCGAAACGTTGGGTCTATGAATTGTAACTTCTCGGTTACATTCATTAGATCGTTAAACCATAGTAGCATCAAACCATGTCTAATATTTTATATTAAACTGAGTCAGGGGCGGTGGGAGCCGGCGGTTTGGCTTTGTTTTTGCGTCTTTTGGACAGATGAAGCAGACAAATGCAATCACGATTTCAATAGGTTCTACAAGACCAGGAATAAAACGTTTAGCACCCTTGGTGTTTCAGGTTTGATCAAAGACCTGTCGACAATAATTATTTACAAAATTTAGGAGACGAACACAATATAACTAAAATATTTCCTAGACAGTTTCACCAGATTTTGTTTGGTTATACCATCAATAGTACAACAAGAAAATTCGTCTACTTTCTTAAACTGTGTGTTTGGAATTCGATTTTTTTAAAATTTTCCTTGTAAAAAATGATCTATAATTTGTTTCTTTTTGAGAGAAATCAAAGTGGTAAGCAAGATAACGTTTCCGTGAATATAGGTGTAATAATTACTCACGGCAGCTGTTTTTTAGCTCAGCGCACAGGGTTCTGTAGATCAGAAAGAATCACTGAACCATCACGCACCCAAACTTCGAATACATACGTCATATAAACCAAGTGTGAGGTATGTACTGTAAGTTACGGATCGAGTTTTTCCACCCGGTTTTATGGCCTGAGCGTAAAGCGTGTCAAACTGTTT